TAATTGCCATACTCTATTACAAATTTCTCATGCCTGAGTTTGTGTACACCATGCCCTGGTCCTGTAGTACATCGCCAGATCTCCAGTGGGAGTGCGTCCTAACGTGTATCTCATTCGGTCGTGATATGCCTGGCGCCGGGTAAGGGAAACGGGTCGGCGAGCTCACCGCATCGTCTCCATCTCCTCGGGGCAATCGAAGGCCAAGAAGGGAATACCGCTCGCGTCACACACCGGAACTCCCTGATTGTACTCGCATTGGTATTCGTTATGCCTGGCGGGGCAGTGTTATAGGTGAGCTGCATATGGATTCGCCGAACACCGTAGATTCTCGTAAAATCTGCTATTGGGTTACCAGCGGAAATCACCAGCTGACCTGCAATAGGTTCAGCTTGGCAAGTTAACGAATTGCAAATACCAGTTGAACGAGGACCAGCACATCCTCAAGGCTGCGATGGAAAAACGCTAATCCTTCTCAGGAGCTTTTGTCCGTGAAACCGAATATCACATGGTTGGAATGCAGATTGTGGATTTTGAGATTTTCCGGTTTCAGACGGCATCATTATTTATAGGGATGAGCTCTGAGCTCTGAGCAGACACTGCGGGGTGAAAGAGGGATCAGCCGTGTACCTCGTTGTAGCAGAATCTGATTTTACATGGGGAAGGGAGCCACCGCAGAGGAGCAGGTAAATTGTTCTGAAAACTCAACACTTTCTCAACAACATTCAGAAAAGAGGGGGAGACTCCTTCCGCTTTTCTTTTTGGGGATCTTCGGTCTGCTACTAGTGGCAGTTAGTATTTAGTACGGTAAGTGGGGCGTCACAGGTAATTTGCCATGCAAAATTTTGATCCAGTGTCCGGGTACTTCATGCTGGATACTTGTAATTTTTCCGAATTTTTATAGAACATATATCTAGCATTGCCCCCACCCGAAGCATTTGATGTTTGTCGCAATGTGTCTTCTGTACAGTGTACAATACGGCTGTCTTAGCAGGTATCATAAGTGGGGGGTTCATGTGATGGCCCGTTATTCAATACGATTGAAGTAAAAAGTTCCCCCTTTATATCATAATATTATTAGTATCATACACACACTTTTTTTTTTTTTTTTTTTTACCTATAAGGTTTAAGGACTCGGCTTGAGATAGTTGGATAATTGCGGTTAGAACCCGTATTTAAATTAGTTTTTTCTACTCCTCACACTTTCTCTCATCTCATACCTATAGCAAGTGAGACATGAATGCTTCACTATGGATCACTCGGAGTGTTGTCTACTTGTATACTATAGGACGTGATGGAATCCGCTGCCCTAGGACCAAGGTGTGTTAGTTCTAGTCTGATTAGGAAATGTTCTTCTTGGCACCTTGGCGCGGAAAGAAAGATTTTGATTATGATAACTAGTTCTCATTGTGATTGTTAAGGTGGTCGATGGGCACTGGATAGCAAAGGAAGGGAAGGTATAGTCAAAAGAACTTTGTTCTCTTGTTCGGCCCCCATCTCGCTAACTCTCCCACTCCCTCAACTAAGCGAACAGTAAAGACGGGTGTATAAAATAAACATGATCAATCAATCCTCCTGACCCTTCTGGGTATAGCCACACCTATCCCTGTAGCTCCATGCACACCACCATTGATCCGTACACACTCCCGTGATGGCGAAGGAAAGACATGCCTGGAGAATCTTCTCCGTAGACTACTACGCTCTGGGGCAATCCATCATACTTCTGAACGATTCACCAGGCTCCCACAACTTCCAGAACCAACCATAGCATCCTATTATCCTCTCCATCCCTAACCTGTGGAGGCGATCAATTGAGCTATAGGAAGAATAAATTGAGGCCCAGTTCTACCGTTTTACTGGGTGGGGGTTGGGATATCTTGAATTGAGGGTATAACTAATTCAACAGTTCCAGGAATATGGTCGTCGGACTGCCGCGTGTTTGAGACGAGAAAAAAAAATCAATTTTTTCTTTTTGATTCCCCCCTCCTTTCGGATTGAATGGCATGGGGGGCAGCACCGCCAGAGTCACATAATGCTTTGTTGGAAAGTTTCTAGCGGGTAGGAGTTTTTTCCACCTGCTCTTAGTCGGACACTCTCACAAAAACAGGTACATGACAACCGCTTGATAGCTTGGAGAATTGATCACAAGTGCGATGCATATATATATTATTTTATAGGGTGTCACTTGATACCGATTTTTCAATTTGTATCATGTCTACTAGAGGCTCCAGACCCAGGAGCTGAATGAATTTGCTCACAGGCAACGATGTTACTTGTATGATACATGCAATTGAGCTTGAGTTAGAGGAAATTTAGTGCCACCATAACCTTTATGTTAGTTCTCAAGATCAAGCTTCACAGGTTTCTTTGCTCTTGTTTCATCCGAGTATGGAGGGGTGGCTTAATTATGGAAAGCGCTGTGCACCCCGGCAAGGACCGCTGGAAACAATCCTAAATTTCTTGGGGTCAGAATTCAAGAGTTTTATGTGGTCGATTGGTTTTTGGGAGGTTGAGAGGACATGGGTAGCTTTCCCAGCCCAGCACATCCGGACAGATACAGACTGGTGGGCTTTGTATGAGGGAACGAGCAGTGGCCAATACTGACCGGAACATCGAGTGTGGGTTGTTCCAAAACCCAGTTGAACATCGGATACCACCAAAATCCGAGATTAGTGACCTTCTTCTCTCCCATCTCTCTTAGCTATTCCAGAATATGTCATTAAGAGATTTCATCGGTCTTGGAAAAATTATATTTGACTTTCCCAGCTTACCAGTGGCCTGGGATACCGGCTGCCAATGTGAAGCGTTTAAGATAATTTGGCACTTGTGGTTGACCCTGTATTTGGTTGCTGTGCTGTTTTCTCATCCATACGGCGTTTGGTGCAGAATAAATGTTTAAAGTCAGACAATTTTGGTTAATCCATATTTTACTTTTGCAGGTCTCATATCAGCAGCCAAGCGGGAAAAGTGAAATTCTGTTTTACCGAGAAATTTGTCTAGTGACTGTACTAAGGCTGTGGAATTTAGGCGCAAGGGGGGGGGTTTATATTGAAACCCCTCTTTGGTTTCTTCCTTCCTTGAAGTTCCTTCCCATATCCCTATAATCTTCTCGCATCTGGAACGTGCCATTCTACCTTTGGAGAATTTATAGTCCAATTGCGATATAAAGCCGCCTCACTTTAGTCTTTCCTTTTCTCTTAAAAACATTCTCCTCCCACCTCTTAGCAGCTGGTATTCACAGCCGCCCTCATAGGTATTAGGGCTGCGCAATAAGAACTCTCTGAACCGGGAGAAAGTCCTGGAATTATGTATTTCTCCTTATATAGCCACTGCCGTAGCTAGGAAATATGATACATCAAATCATTCCATCCACGAACACATGCATCCAACCCCACCCCCCCAGTAACACCATTTGTTGAACCCATTTTTGCTTTTACTTCATCTCAACCAAAAAGCAAATGGAGTCCAACGTCCTCACGGGTGGACGCGGGAACATGTATATCCCCGACAAAGATTTCCTCCCGAGTTCCGCCATCATCAGCTTCTTCGAGCAGTATACCACCCTGAGAGGAGACCAGATCGTCCAACACATTTTGAAAATTGTGAGTATCCCAACTAATACCATTCCACCCACACCGCCCTCCGACAAACGGCGATGTATGATATATCTAACAACCTCTCCAACAACAACAACAGCGTTCAAAAGCCTGGCAACTCCAAAACTACCCCTGCATCGGAAATTTCTACTTTCTGGAATTCACCTTCACCAGTCAGCAAATCTACCCGGACGTCCTGCGCAGGCTGGAACAGGGCGCGAAACTTCTCGACGTGGGCTGCTGCTTCGGTCAAGCCATCCGCAAGCTCGTCGCGGACGGCGCTCCAGCAGCGAACCTCTACGGCATGGATCTGCGCCGCGAGTTCATAGAGCTTGGGTACGAGCTCTTCCTCGACAGGGGGACGCTTTCCGCTCACTTTATAGCGCCGGTCGACATGCTCCTCCTCGGGGAGGGGGGTGGCGTGGCCAATGACGAGAGTGTCAGCCGTCTCGCCGGTAAGATGGACATCATTCACCTCGGCCAATTCCTCCACCTCTTCAATTGGCAGGAACAGGTTCGCGCCGCGACCAACATCGCGGGGTTTCTCAGCCCTGCCAAGTGCTCTCTCATCGTCGGGCACCAGGTTGGTAGCATGATCGCCGGCGAATTTCCACTCCCGTGGGTGGAAGACAAGGTTCACACCGTTTTCGTGCACGACGAGAGCAGCTTCAAGGAGTTGTGGAAACAGGTTCCAGGAGAGTGGGAGGTCGAGTTTGAGTTCGTGTCTATGCCCATGAGATTGGGAAAGGATTCTTTGGATAGGCTTTTGGTTAATTCACCTCGCAGGCTTTTCATGTTCACTATTAGGAGGGTCTGACTTTGTGGGGACTTTTGTCGTGCATGGATCTCGGTTATTTGTTTCGTTATTCCCGTATCTTCATGGTCTGGTTGAAGGGTTGCGGTGAAACAAAAATTAAATAATTCACCATATTGGTATTCTAGATGCATTCCTTTCCCCATTCGGTTTCACTACCGCCGTGACCTGACAACGAATCACAATGTTCTCCCACCGTGCATACCCATTCGGCGATGCAGTACCAATTGTGTCCGCCGACCAACGCCACAGTACGAGTAAGGGCAGAGAACAAAGAAGGGTACCAAGTGTATTGCGTCAAGACTGAATCACATTCTAGCGGAAGCCGAAAGTAGAAGAAATATTCGACACGTCTTCGCCCGTACAATCCGAGCGGTCCAAAACGTGCACCAGAAATCCAATTTTTGAATTCTATAGGTTCTGCAACCACAACCATTGTTGCAAAAAAAATGAAAATTAAATTCCTGACACGCCTCTTGGGCTGCTCGAACCATATGAGCGTGAGTATGCAAATGATCCCACGAAAATATGTTTTGTCGCAAATCGGGAGCCTGCCCTGACGAGTGACAGATCATGCATATGATTCAAGTGGATCCCAGCAAAGTTTTATTTGTATGAAATCTCCCCCTCCAAACAAACAAAAGCAACTATACAAAACCCAGTCAATCTATTAAACCACCTCGAGCCAAGCCAAACAGTCCTCATGAATCATGATATTACTGTCCATGTACAACCTATGCTATCTAGACAAACCACAAATAGCCACAAAAAAAAAAGATTTGAAACAAGAGACGTACAAACAGATAACCAGAGTACCACCGACCACGCACCAGTACCGTAGGGAATAGAAGCAAAAGTAGAGTAAGATCCGCAAGCAATTAAAATAAACTCCTCGGTGCTATTCACCGACCCATCCGTCTCGTCTGCCCATACATCCAACCATCCACCGGACTGACCAACCGGGAAGAGAAGAAAGTAAATGTGAAGAGAAGATAAAGTGCCAAAAAGCTATTATCGTATCAAGCTCGGGAGAAGGGAGAATATGAAATTACGAGAGAAAGGGGAAAAGAAAGGAAAAGATAGAACATAAGTAGACCCTTAGCCCCAGACGGACTATCCATTGATTTCGCTCATTTAATTTTTGACTAGCTGAGTGGATCGAAGGAAGAAAAGTAAAACTAAGGGAGCAAGGAGTAAATGGAAAGTGAAATGAAACAAAGCAAACCACCCAGTAACGGTACAAGAAAAAACATGAGTAGAGAAAGAGGTTAATAGTGTCAGAAGTGAAAGAAAAAAGGGAAAAGATAAGAGGCTTTAATTTCGTAATGAGGTGAGCTGTGGATGGTTTGGAATTAAAGCAAGGTAGCTAGCCAGGTAGCTAGGTATGTGTTAGCTTATCCTGGCCCCGCAATGCTAGGGGCTTGTGCCAAAGCTGGAAAAGTGATCTCCTCTGCCGCTGACTTTTCGAATGGAAACAATGCGTCTTGGGCGCTACTGACGGTGGTAGTAGCAGTATTATTCTCGAGCGCAGTCTCTGAATCCTCAATTTTGTCGTGTGGAGAACGGTGGATGGCATGATGCTTGTAGATGACACTGATGACGTTCTTTCTTGCGAGAAATCGGACAGTGATGCAGCCCTCACAGGGATACCTGGTTCTAGCCATGGAGACTGCAAGGAAGCGAGTTAGCTGAGATTTGACCGTAAACAGAAAAATAATAATGATTTCTAACTGAGGGCAGGAAAACATACCCTTCTTCTGATCTTCGCCGGTGCCGCTTTTCCTCTTCTTCAAACTCTCCAAACTCATGTTACATACGAATATAGCGCCTCTACTCCCGCTATTTGTCGAATTCCAGGTGGAGTTTTTGGTGACATATACGTAGCGGTCCACATCAGAGATTGCGGAAACGAGGTCTGTAGCGTATTGTTTCTGGGTAAATTCGCCTTCCGGTAGAGGTAGAGTAAAGGAGCAGCGGAATGGGGTGGGGATAAATGCAGGTTTCGAGGCGTTAAGCAATTCAGCCAGCTTAGCTCCAAGGGCGGCCGTGGTGTCTACATGGATCGCAGGTGGAGGTGGTGCGGAAGGACGCTTAGGGGGTGGATTCTGAGGTGATGTCGAAGACGGAGGGGGGGTAAGATGAGATAGAGTAGTCATAGAGTCTGGCTGTTGAAGAATTGACTCTGAAAGTTCAGGTGCGGTCGAATTCAACTGCTCGGCAAACGAAGAGTCTTTATCCAGGGCTGCGGATGGGGGTTCAAGGATACTTGCGCCGTTGGGAACACCCATGTAGTACTCGAACGAAGTCATACCATTGCTGTCCGTCTGCTGGCCGAAATGAGATTGTTCATTATCAGTCCTCATCCAATCACTCGCAGATCTCGAGCCTACCTCAACATTGTCAGTAGAATCGAGAGGCATGTCGTTTAGTGCCGACATAAATGGATTGCAATTAAGGATGTTTGCGACGTCATCGTCAGATTCGTCCTCGTCGGCTGGCTCAATTTCCTCAGCGAGGTCAAATTCAGGCTCGGGCTCTTCACCATCGCCAACACCATCTTCCCCATTCTGCAACTGTTGAGTTTCGGTAGGATGGGGAACGCTCCTGCCCAATCTTGCCAGCTCGTTCATAACTGTCTTTTCCCCGGGAATCCACTGCTTCCCACGTCTATTCCTCTTGCGAACAGCAGTCATCTCCTCCTCAGTCAGGAGCGAAACGTAAGCAGGGATCCTAGAGTTACCAGACACGACACCGGCCTGTTGTCTTCTCTTTTTCTTTGGCGGTTTTTGTTGGGATGAGGATGCTCGTTGTGAGGATTGATCAGAAGCAGCGTCGTCGTCAGCCACACTATTCGGTTTGGGGTTTTTGCGCGGGCGACCGCGACCGCGTTTAACTGGAGATGTAACTTGGCTATTTGGAAGGGAGCCGCCTATAGGGGAGGGTTGTGAATCTTCGGCTCCCAGAGCGGGGGGAGGAGAGGATTTGGCGGAGTGAACAAAGGTTCGGACGATCAGACCCCCGTAGTTGTATTGGCGCTCTACGATGCCGCTGCTCGATGACGCTGCCATTTCGGTGGAGGAATAGAATTGGGGATGAGATGAAGGGGTGGAGTGCGGAGAGGGTTTGGGGGTGGAATGTTTGAAGGGGGGATGCGGGTGCAGGCGCAGGGGAGAGAAGGTGCCCAGTGGAACGGAAGCCACAGTGAGGCGTTGTAGTCAGATGCGCCACAGGATTAGGTGATGGAGAGGGCAAAAGCCAAAAGCACTGGCAGGGGAAGAAGGTGGAAGTAGGTACAAGTACGTACGTGCGGGTGTGAAGAATTAGGCAACCGAAATTTTCAACGTTCCCTTCGTCTGTACCCTAAACCTAGGTTAACCCTCACGATGTCGCTTTAGGGGTTTTTTTTTTTTTTTGTTCTTGGATAGAATAAAATCCATATCATGATAATAATATTATTGTTAGTATTTTTTTTTTTTTTCCTTCACTTATTCATTCTTATTTTTTTCCATTGCTTTGGATCTTGTTTTTCTCTGTGAGATACGGTACATTACCGGTAAGTTACCGGGTATCTAGGGTAAAGCTTGCTCCAGCCACTGTGCCAAGAGTTCGACAGACTGTTTTTCCTTCACCAAAAATTAGTGTGCTCAAGTAGATTGGTTGTATTCATGCAGAAAAAATAATAATTTTGGTTACACTCATCATAGTGATTTCGACAAATGAGCCAAAGTTCAACGGACTAATGCCCACACCCTAGGTACTTACCCTATCGCTAGAGAATCTTTCGTGGTGCAGATTTGCTAGGTGCTTTTTTTTTCTTTTCCTTTCACATCTCGAGCCCTTCTAGCGAATCAGAGACTCCTGTTACCTTCTCAATGTCCACACTGGCAGTGCTCTCACTCCCATGCACGGAAGCTGGGTGGCACTTCCACTGGTTACATAATAGTATGACAAAGATATTACAAAGTTAGCATGGTACTCAAGGGGATCTCTATCCATGCTCAAATAAAGTTACCAGGCAGACAGCACAAGTATCTCCCTGTGATAGAGGCGACATGAAACTCTGAGGATTTCAGCTCACCAACCTGTGATGCAATTCACGTTCACCCACCGGGGGAATACATTGCATTAATCGTAGAGACCCCCCTCGCATTGGTACGGCTCCCTGACGGAGGTGATGGTTCGCTCGCCCTTTTACGCCAAAAGTGGCTATTTTTGCAGCAATGCAACAATGCCATGTTGGCCTCAATTGATTATATATATAAGTTCCAGGTACTAGGCCCTGATATAGACTTCAAAGTACCCAAAATTTCAGCTGGGTCAGATGCATCTTGCATTGTCAGAATTTTCAAAACAAGTACCTTCTTCTGTGGGTGCCCATAGAAGTCTTCAAGGCTTGGCACAAATATTTGGACACCTTGAGCCTCTCTTGCTTGTGGAATGGCTGATTTCGCAAACAATTGTGGCCAAACAGACATGGACTGAAATCCCTGTGTTACTGGCTAACCACAGCCACTGGTACAGTACAGTGTACTGTACAGCTACAAAATTGGGGAGTTTTATCATTGCTCAAACACCTAACCCAACCTCAACTTTAAGCCTTTGAGCCGCAAAGAGAGCAGCACTAGCGCCCGAGTCTCGGCATGCTATGATTCCCGCACGCAGGCCGCAACTGGTCTGGTGTTCCTTGAAGCCTGCCACGCAATAGGTGTAATTTACCCTCAAAGAGGGAACAGAGAACTACAGGTGCCGGTGGTCCAAGCGCCACAGCCCGAATCTTGGTCAGGAATCTTGGGCTCCCCGCCCCCAATCCATCATTCGCTCCCGATCAACCATCGCCAACTCACCCCACTAATCTAATCGCCCGACGTTGCAGAGCGCTTCACCAGATTTACATCCGATCCCAGTTCGACAACCTAGCCGCCGTATGCGTCGATATGGTACCGGTATGGTATCATACTGTCCCGGCTTCCATTCCCTCGTGGCCTCCAATTTTTATGGCCGCTATCCACCTACCCTATATGACTGCCATCTGCAACCCGTGATATCACGCCTAAACCCCCCAACAACACGAGTGTCAAGGCTGTCCTAGCCCCTCCATGGTACTGTATACGAGTATATGGTGCGGGTGATACATGGGTGCATCCCCGGCCCCGCACCTCCCTCCCTCTCCACCCAGCACCCAGGAATTGCCCCCCCAAAACCCAACCCCACCTTTCGGTGCAGCACTGCCATGTGCCCCTCTACCGCGCTCGAGCAAAGGCGACCCGGGTCGAGCAAGCAAGCAACCACGATACGCGACTCAGTGCCGTAGGGGGGGGGGGAAGGGAAAGGTTTCAAGCGAGCTGGATGCATATACTTCAGACATAAATTTACTTGCGATTGCGAACAGCGATGGAGCAATCAGCTCTGGTATCGTAACTCATGCCATATCCCCACTGGTGGATGGGTAGATCCCGATCCCGTCTCGGCTGCACTGCGCTGTGTTGATGAAAGTTACTGTACGAGTAGACTACGAGTACGAGTACTGTCGGCTACTGGACTACAACGCGTGCGCGGTAATCTACCGGTACTGTACGAGTACTACGGTACTGTACCTGCAGAGTACTCGAGTGGGCCGCCGGCACCCCGCTATTTGCTGTTGTGGGTTTGAAGTTCTGATTTTGGTTCTGCTGCTATTGCCACGCCTGCTCATCTTCAACACCGCTAGGTACTGTACCGGTACTATGCTTCTCGTACAATTTAATGTCATGCTCTACTACGTAACTTAAGCTTGCGAGGCCGTTGCTCTGCTCGTTGTGCTCGAGTACAGTACTCGTACTGAGGCACTAACTCCCCCCCTGGCACAATAGTAAAAAAAAGTAATTCCAAAGCCCAGACTCAACATCCCTCCCTTTCGAATCAAGATTCAACGCTCGCTCGCAACCGCCCAGACATGATCGTCCGTAGATCACGCCTCCATTCAACCAATCAATTAGCCATGCCCTACTCGTGTACTCGAGTACTGTACTGTACGGTACTGTACCGTATTCACTCCTCCAACCAACACACCCTGACGTCAACGCCTGTCACCTTCCAAGGCCGCACCACCATCGCATACCGGTATGCAGTGCTCGTACCCTGCCGCGTCCTTAGGCTACGTACTCCACCGTCGACTTATCCTACTCGAGTACGGTACGAGTACTCGAGTGCTCAGTCAAACCCCAAGCCCAACACCGGTATAAGTATCCCCGCTCTTCCATCCCCTTTCCCGGGCAGCCGCACCTTCCTTCATCTCAACGCAACCCAACGACAATACAGTGCACTCCAACGAGCATAGAATTACGAATCCGAGTCCCCCTCTCCCCCCCAATTCTCACGTTTTCCATCTACCCTTCTTCAAAAGCCATCTTTATATATAAGCGAGAATGGACTCGTTAAAAGGCCTAATGGGCTCCGCTAGCGGAAACCAGTCAAAGACTGAGCATCAGCAGCAGCAGCATCAGCATCAGCAGGGGAGTTCTTCCTCAAGTTCTGGCGGCGGGGGGTTCGCGGACAGGTTGCATGGAATGATCGGTGGGGGACCGGAGTCTGAGAAGAAGGAGGATGGGTTGGACAAGGGTTTGTTATAACATTCTTTCTTGCCCCTTCTTCTTGACGAAGGGGTAGGTAGGAGAGTGGGGCTAATATGGGTGAATGCATGTTATGGGGAGGTAAACAGCAATCGATTACGTGCAGGAGAAATTCCTCGGCCAGGGTCCTCAGGAGAATGAGTCGGCGCTTGAGCAGGCTAAGGATGGGCAGATCGCTGGTTGTGGGTTCCTCCTTCCTCCACACTGGCCTTTATGAAGGGGAGGAGAGACGACGGCTAATGTTTTCTATTGCTGTGGGAATAGTCATCCGCAGCCAATACAAGGGGTCTACTGGGAAGGAATTTCCTATTGCCGATAAATAGATAGTCTTGATCAATGCGGGGGGGGGCGAAAGAAGAAGCGGAGGAGGAGGGGGTAAGTTAGTGGAACAGGGTGGGCGTACGGATTTTTCAGTCTAGTTTACTATCTATCTACCAACCAACCACATCCATCCACCCAACCAGGCTCATGACCTTTTCTTCCCCGTGCTCCCCTCTTTCACCCATCCTTCAAAATTTAATAAGTCACAAGTACGAGTGGACGAAAACCATCGGCGCACTACACGAATTGATCATGATATCATTCTTTTTGTGAACACAGCAAGCAAGCAGCTCCTGTTTGCTTCTCGTTCATACTCGGGATAAGGATAACGGAAGCGGGGCGGTGTGTGTGTGTGTGTATGACAAGGAGATAGGATTTCATTTCTCGCAGAGTAGAGGGGAGAAGGAGTGAAAGATATCATTGAAAGAATGGAGGGGGAAGAGAAAAAGTGCAATTATTATACCGGTATGATATGATAAAAGTAGTGATGGGAAAGATCCTGTGTGAACCTGTTTTTTTTTTTTTTTTTCCGGCAGTCGCAAGACCAAATCTTCGCATCTTCAGTTTTTTCCCTTTTCCTTTTTCCCTCTAAGCATCTCTGAAGTTGGCCCACAAAATGCTCGGATAAGATTGCATCCCGCTACAGTACTCGAGTGCCCGCTACCGGTACGCCGGATACACTTAAACTCCAAACTCCGGCCACCCAAATATGATACATCCCATATAGCCGCGATACAAGTGGCATGAATGAATTAAAAGAAAGGAATAGGAGCAAAGTAGGGTATGAGTAGATTAAAAGAAGAGTCGTGGGGGGGAAGAGATGGGAAAAAAAATTTGAAAAGTGAAAAGGAAGAAAGGCTCAGACAGTCCCTCCTCCAACGCGTCTCCGTTGTCGTTCTCGCTTCAGCAGTACGAGAACGCTTGCGATGGCGGTGAGTTTGTCGAGTCCCCTCTCGTCAAGGATTAATGTCCCACCGATTGACGTCAATGGACCGAGCGCTGGGAATGGGGTTATCTGATGGTTGGGATTGGGTCAGCAACGGGGGATAATTATTAGGGAATATAATCCCCTAGACCCGGGAGTGTATCACTCGCAGGTGTGCAGGCAGGGGCAAGGGAATTTCGGAGGAAATTCTCACCTTAATGTAAAAGGCGCCAATGTAGTGTCTGCTCCTGGTGTCTGTCATATGTTTCTCAAGCAAGACTTGGTCGGAACCCTCGTTGAATCGCCAGACGTACCTGATACCGCCAGCATTATAAGCCCATGCCGTAAGTTCTCCCCCGCCCCCTCCCCCACCATGCCCTTTCTCCTCTCCTTTTGACTCACGTCCCCTTTGCAGATTTCCGACACCGCAAAGCCAAAATTCCAACGTAATCATACGTACCTGGCGCTGCCCACATCGAACAATTGTGCCCTCCTATCTTCCTTCCCGCACCAGACATCCAGCTCCTCCCCACCGCTCTTGATCTTCGCCGGCTTCATCACATCCCAAGGCACCCGCCACTCTACCGACTCCCCCAAAACGGAGCGTCCACTACCCAGCCCCATCCTCCGCGAGACCAATCCCTGCTCATCATCTCCTCCGCCCTTCTCCCAAGGCTTCGCAGCGTGTAGAGTTCTCAACTGCTTCTTCGTCAGGTTCTCGCGGTCGAGAACCTTTATATATGGTGTGAGATCATGAAGAGGAATTGTATTCCTGGATGAGGGTAAACTTCCGCGGGGCGGAACATACAAGACAACTGTGGGATTGAAATCCGAAAGGATCGTATTCCTATCCTCCGACGACCGCGCCGAGATACTTGTCGCTGCGGTGGAGGAAGAGGCATTAGTATTATAGCTAGCTGTGGTCGAAACGGAATTATTCCGGGACGACATTTTCGGGTCGGCCGATAGGATCAGACCGAACTTTTAAAGGAAAGGGGAAAAGAGAAAGGGTTCGAGCGGAGGGGAAAGGAAGGGTCAATGATGGTGCGGGAGAGGGAAAAGTTATTTAAATGGCAGTGCATAATTTTATGTAAGGTGAGAGACTCGAGTAGTTTGGCTGGGGCGCCCCCCACAGATATAACCTAATTGTGACCCTGGCTAACGAGGGGATCGGCAGATGGGCAAAATCGTTTCTCCATTCTCACCTTGCCTTGACTTCTGACCAACCCAAGGGGATCTCTCTCTTCGTCCCATCCCCCTCCCCGCTTCCCACACTTTCGCTCGTCTCTTTCCGATCTTGAAATTTTTTTTTACCATTTTTCCTCACTTCTCTCCCCAACCCCACTATGATAATCGCTCCTTAACCTGGGCCAAGCCGCACATTCACATTTCTGGATGGGGAGGAATAGGAAGAAGAAAAAGACGTTATCGCTAACCTGTACTGTACGGGTAGTACGTCATGGCTGTCATTACCTATTCTGGCCAAGCCACCCACCCTACGAGTAAAGTCCTGAGTGCGGAAAAAAAGAAAAAAGAAAAAGAAAAAAGAAAGAGAGGGCTCTTCAACCCTTCTTCCCCAAATTAAACTTACGCTGGACCGCGCCAACACACCCTCCCTGTGCAGAGCAGCGGTGAAACGAGTCGTCCGCTTGGGTGCTTTGCATGCATCAGAGGTGAATGAAGCGAGACCGGGGATTTATGCCCTAGCCCTGTTACTCTGAACGATATGTAGGGACGAGGGGATAGAAGTGGGGCTGGAGGGTCGTAGGTGGTCACTCGGGGCAGGTGGCATTATTTTGATTATAGGTTCGATGGAAGTGCTAGAGAGCAGGCTAAGGAGTGGAGAGAGAGCGGAGGGGTCGATGGTTTTCAGTATTGAGAGAAAGTCGGAGTCAGTGCTCTGGCTGAGTTCCACGTTTGGAATTACACCCCAATGTTACTGTTATAACTGTGACGCCAGCCTCCTCAGCGTCCCCGGCATAGAAATTCAAGGACAGATGACGGTCATGGGTGTATCCACAATGTCCCGGAAAATCCTTTCGTTGAGCAAGGATACCGATACGATAGCAGCTTTGCAAAAACCGGTTTCAGCCTCTATGCAGCACTACCGTACTCGAGTACCGACAGTGACATCGCGGGAGCTCGGAAAGAAGATAAATGGGCTACGGGTAGGACTTTATAGTTTCCTCTCTTGGTAAGGCGCTGTACTCGTACTTGGAGTAAGTATTCCTTTTCTTCTATCCAGACTAAGGACTAGTCTAGGTTAGAGGTGTTTTTTCCACTCGCGCAGCCGAGAAGGGGAGTTCCAACGTCTTAGCACATTCCATCTTTCATTCGGCTTCTCAAGGTAGACTGGTTGAAGATTAAATAAGGGCTGCCTATGCGGTCTCAGAGCACATGCACACGAGCCAATTGATTCGGGACTATTCTTCACTGTCAATTGGCTCGAGTACGTGCGGTGCTACTCGAGTATGATGGGGGTATCAAGCTTTTTTTGGGCGTGGAGACATCCTTGGTATTACGTGCAGATGAACCTCGTCGGATCCCCCTTGTGATGGGGGGAGGGTTTTGTCGCGCTGTCAGCTGGTGGTCCATTGAGGGCTCTGTTGATGCTTACAATCCGAGTATGGTATGATACCGTAGCAGCATCGGCAATTGGGGGGAGAGGGGGGCTCACCCCATTTTTGGCGGGTGCTGCGGGGATTCTGCGTGACTAATAGGGTACGGTTTAAAGAGCGGTATCCTCCCTGCGCTTGTATGATAATCATGATACTTTCCAGCGTTCGAAGGGTTCCTCTGCTCATGCCCCGACCAGCAAACGAAAGCAACGTTGTGACATAACCCACGCTGTTGTACTGTACTGTATGGTTCCGGAAGGCTATACTCTATACCAGTTTTCCCACAAAAAGTGTGACAATTTTTCCTGCGACAACAACTGTAACACTGGGAAAAATTCTTACCCTACTGGTTTACTTGAACAACCTTAACATTTTAAACTTTATTTTATTTTAATATTATTATATAATATTATTATATTGTTAAGGTCTCTTCTCCATTGCTTGATGATCTCTCATCAACTTAAAGGTACTCCTTGTATCAAAGTATTAAGTATATAAATTACTAAAATAACTTTAACCTCAGTGGGAGTTAAATGCCTAACCTTTCAAACCAATGCATAGGTCATACCAACTGAACTAGTATGTAATGTCTAAAAGCCTAGAAGGTGTTTCGATATTTATATTCCATGTCTGAGTGTTTGCAGACTACATCTATCTATTATACAAACTATATATCTTCTCTGGTTATAACTCACAATGTCGGGTATTCTTCAAAGTTGCGAACACGTGGAGACCCTGAAAACTACCATGCCCTCTTTGGTAATTACCATTTTGCTAATTTAGGAACTATACAGTTTCCAATAGTAATTATCAAATCTTCAGTATCATTAGACTTATAGCCTAGTTCTCAAGTTGAACTGAGTTGGCCCCAATTGTCTCGCTTATTGATAAAATGATCAGTTTTATCTGCGGGTTGTATCTGCAGAGGTAGTCGTAATTTCAACCTTCCTAGGTTGCCTGACTTTAAACCTCTATAACTCTGAATCTGTTAGCAATACCAGTATCCACTACCTAGGAATCACCCTAAGTAGAGTAACCCCACTCAGAATCAGAATATCTAGTCTCCAACACCCCTCTCTGGCCCCTTTATGGGGTCCGCATGTCATCATACATATCAATCTCAGTTACATCCCGTGACTATCATGGCAAAGGGTTGAAGGTGTCCGAATAATACCATATGCGTCACTACCATCCATTGGACCAGATCCTGTTCATAGCATATAGGAGAGAGGACCTTCCACTAAGTCTGGGAAGTAGAACAGAGTAAATCCATCAACTACTCAGAGAGTGACTAGGCTTCAAAGATGTGATATCTTTTGAATAGGCTGTAAGTAACTGGACATTTTCGCATCAAGAGACAGTATTGAATGGTAAAAGATCTCAATAAGAATCCAATACATTTGCTCCCACCCTATAATAATCAGAAGAGTCTAGAACTCCGAGGAACACAACCCCAGAAGCCAACAGACATTACACAGTATTACAACTTGGTCCTAAAATGTACCGTAGTTGTGGGAATAATTTTCAATACTAGAACGGTGATTGAAATCCTAGCACCTAAAGCAACCAAGGATTGCTGACAGAGAGATTATCTATCATTCCGGCAGAATAGCTTCCTGCGAATTAGTAGGAAGTCTTTTGGAAAATATTTTTTGATTGAATATAGAGTTATCGAGGTTTGAAGTCAGGTGATCTAGGAAGATTGCAATTATGACTACCTTCACAGATATAACCCAAAGATGAAACTGGTTATTTCATCCATGACAGAGACCATTAGGGCCAACTCAGTTCGACTTGAAAACTAACGTATGGTATAGTAATATGGCACAGGTCCGTGAACTGATACACGTGTTTCACCGGTAGTCCCGATGTGAGAGCTGATTTAATTAGTTCATATCTCATGTAATATAAGTCCAATTGACAAGAAAAGAAAAGATTTAGAAGGAGAAATTATAGGAGAATATATCTATGAAAGAAAAAGGTCCTGGAAAATATTGTTAGAATTTCCAAAAAAAAAATAGCTGAGGAAGGATGAGTACAGTGAACATGCTTGTATGAGAGGCTGAGGGGAGGGAAAGCAGGTATTTTAAGGCCACAAGGAGTGGAGGGACATATGTAGTGGCCGGACAGGTATGGTGCTCTGTAGAGGGCAAAATGGGCTCCTCGGAAGAGGTTTTTGCAAAGTTCCAGGTAGACTATTCCAATCACTGTCACTCAGGATTTCCTCTTCGCTTTTCTCCACCTCTGAATTGATAAACATAACCATCGGTGTATTGGCAACTACCATCTCTCGAATCCGCTTAGCTGGGGTATCAACTGAAGGCTGCTTTGCAAGCTTTACTTTTGGTTTCTGTGGTAGTTTGGTGGAAACCTATGGTGCGACAAGCAAGGTGTGGGGGGCCTTTTTTATTATTATTATCCTTCTTGATACGTGCTTATGAAGGCAGATGAGCTCTGTCCCATCTAGGACCCTGGCAACCAAGAGCTGTCGCTTATCTGTAGTATTGTAGAGATTGGCAGTTCCTTGGAGGCGTTGGTTGGTTTCAAGATAGAGGTCTTTCTCCATGATATCTGTTTCTAGCTGATGTTCAAGATTACATAAGAGTCTAACCACCTGGACCCGAATACCAACTCTTTCCCTCCTTGTCCTATCCTCCAATGACAGTAGTCCAAGATCGAGTAAGCTCTTTCCCATTGTAACCTAATTTCAAATATCTTGAATATTGTATGGGTTTCTTACAAGTTCAAGAGTATCCTGCTGCTTTCGTCTCTCAGGAGCAACCTTTCATAGAACCCTTCTTGGATTGAGAGGCCAGATCCCGGTTACCGTAAATGATCTTTGAATTGTTATAGGCTTCATGGTATTATCCCGGGCTTTAGTTAAAAAGGTTATAAACACTGCCTTTTTGATTCCCTCCAAGCTTTGACCAGAGTAAAGGCGTTTATTGATGGCTAATCCATAGAAATGTTGGTATGGTGAACAAAGCCCCACATCTAGAGGCTGTGATAGATGAGTGGAATGGGAAGGTAGGTAGAGGAGGTGGATATCATGGTCTATACAAAACTGAATAAACTGAAAGGTAATGTGAGAACTATGTCCATCAAAGATTAAAAGCCGGGGTAGTCTAATCCTAACTACAACACTCGACTAGGTGTCATATAAATCCTTTAACTACTCAAGGGCAAGTTGATTATAAGTCCACCCCTTGGGTGAATAGCTAAAAAGATAGCTTCGTTCCTTGTCTGTGAGATTGTGGTACCAGCCTAGATCATACTCTTTTCCTTTATTGATAACAAATGGAGCAAGTACAGCCCCACTTGCGGATACAGTCTCAATTACAGTAACGAGTTCCCGCTTCCCATCATATGTCACATGAGGGTTCCTGCAGCCTCTTCTATATAAGACCTTTGCCTGAGTAGCTTGATCCATTAAGAATCTCTTTTTGTCCATGTTAAATATCTGACAAGCTTGGAGATTGTGAAGGCATATTAGATGGCCTAACTTGGTGAAGTAGTCTTGTAAAAGGCTGGAATCCTTCGCATATAATCGCTGACATTCCAGCCGACTGCTTAGCTTTACCACAAGTGCTAGGTTCCAGGTCAAAAAGTGTGTAATCTAATTCTTACCTACCGGTAATGGCTTCACACCTGTTCGCTTTCTTTCTAAGAAAATAGCCATATCTTTTACCATGTCTAGCTGTGGTGGGAAAATATTATCA